TCAGTCGTGGAACAGTGACGTAATTGACACGGAAAATCGGATATGCTTGTTTAGACGTAGGTCGGATGTCCAGCTTCTGGCGCATCTTAACCGCGGCTTGTGTACTGCATCATCACTGTGTCTGTCACGCGACTCTGTTGCCCTTTCTGTTATACCAAATACACAAAATAATGATCTTTAAAATAGCATCATATGACCCCTTTAAGGTTGGTAAACACTTGTACACGGACGCATATAATACTACCTGCCTGACATTGGCATGTTTTATTCAGATGTCAAAGTTGTGCAGAATTGAAGGAAGAAACCACAAAGACAATGCCAGAAGGATGCTGGACAGGTAAAGCCTACAAATCTTGCCACATTAATCAAACATTGTGGTGTCAATACTCAATAAGTTACAACGCAAGTCAGAAATTAAAAAACATAATTCCTTTACTGGTCATTTTGAAATATCAAACTTTGTCCGCAATTGTTAACCACCTCAATCTGTATTATATTGTAGGGTTTAAAAAAATTCCCTCATGTCCAAATTCAACATGAAGGGGGTGGTCCATTGCAGAAAGAGGCATTTGAAAAGACTGCACTGTTCTCAGTCATTAGAGGTATGTGTATAAAACACACAACATTTACAAGAGCGCTTCTCTCTTTTTTTAACTCACTGAATGGTGATACACTATAGATATCTCGTTTTTGTTTTTAGTAGACATCCAAGCAAAAGAGAATGACTCCCTGTCAAAATTAGTGTAATGTAAAAAAATTATGTCAAGCTTTTCTTGTGCTTTTTTCCCCCTTATTTGGCAGATGCTGTGATGCATTTCAGTTTTAGTTTGGCTCTAGTTTTGTATTTATTCCAGTTTATATGAAAAGGTTCATGTAGCGTCCCAGGTAGCCAGTGGAATCGGGCCGAATGCGGCTGAGTGTCGGCTCACTCGGCTGTGTGCTGGCAGCGGCTTGCCAGAAGTGAGCCAGCTCTGGCCCAGTAATGGTTGCCAGATTTGGCTAGGCTTTGGATCTGCCCCGATTCTGGTTGAGAAACGGCACATTAGGCTGCGTTTACACTGCAAGTCTTAATCCACTGATCCGATCTTTTCACCATATCCGATTTTTTTGTCCCGCCTGTTTACATTCACTTTAGACACGCCTCATCCAATATCCGTGTTTACACTAATCTCCCTAAAATCATTCCACTGGCTTTCACAACCATGGGAGCAACGACTGACCCTCGAATTCTGCATGGACTTTTGCTTATTCATCTTTTAAACTTTTAAACTAAATGAATGGATACTGTTAATTATTACCTTCTTCTGCATCCGCATTTTCATTCTTTGGCATGTCTTGGGGGTCGGCAGCTAGGTTTATCACCCTAAATTCACTCCATTTGCTCATAAAATGGACAGGTTGTTCTGTCCACTGCGGCTGTTGTGATCCTTGGCCTCCTTATATTTGGCTTTAATGCTCTTTATCTTGCGTTGGCATTGCAGCCAGGTTTAGTTGTAGCCACCCTCATGCATGGCCCGTGCTATGTCTTCATAGTCACAGCCCGATTTCTGTATGAACCATGCAATTTTGCCTGGGTTGATGCCTCTCCCCATAAACTAATTAAACGTGACGCCTCCTCCTGGCTCCACTGAGTCGCGTGACAGACACAGTGATGATGCAGTACACAAGCCGCGGTTAAGACGCGCCAGAAGCTGGACATCCGACCTACGTCTAAACAAGCATATCCGATTCTCCGTGTCAATTACGTCACTGTTCCACGACTGACATTCAGAAGCGACAGATTGTCATAGCAAAGTTGGAATTGACCCTTTTTTTTCTTTTTTTTTTGAAATAGCCTTTGTGCACAGCCAGCCTTGTACTCTTCTAGGTTCAAAAAACTGTCGTCCATAAAATGCGTTGCAGAAATTCGAACATCTGGGTTGTGCTGTTCTTTTGTAAATAAATCTAAAACCAATGATTCCATCCATCGCAACACATAAATATCATGATGCCGCGTGCAACTTGTGCTTGAAACAGGCGCGAAATGATGACGTTCAACGCAATCAGTCGTGGACCAGTGACGTAATTGACACGGAGAATCGGATATGCGTGTTTAGACGTAGGTCGGATATCCAGATATCGGATATATATCTGATTTAAAACCACATTTGGAAACGGCTCAGATCAGATGTGAAAAAATCGGATCTCGTGTGGATTTTTGTGTTTGCACGCATGCATCAAATTCACATCTGTGTCAGATGTGGGCAAAAAATCTGATTTTTCTGCCAGTGTAAACGCAGCCTTATGCTGAGTTCACACTGCACGATTTTAGCCTGATTTTTCACTCGCTGACAAATGCCCGAAATCGGAGGCTCATTCATGCGAGTGACAATCACGCAGTGAGAATTATCAAAGACACGATCTGAGGGAATCGCCGATGCCCGTGAAATATTTGGCATGCTAAATATCTGGAGCTGTCTGCGATTCACAGTCAGCTGTGTGCAATGAGTTCTGACTGAAAAACACATTGGCGATGACCTACAGCCAGTAAGAGACCAAGATACAGGGCAGCGGGAAGTTCGGGGAGGAGTTATATGAAACGTAGTTTCCGGACCAGTGTTGCCAAATCCGCGATTGCCGCCGGTTGTTTTTTTATGTCAGTAGGTTGAAGTGACCCCAATAACGTGATATTTAGGCCCTGGAATGTGAATTGTACCAGGAGAACCCCGCCAAAAATGTGTATTTTACCCCCGAACGCGATTTTTACGCGAAAGCAATTGGGCTATTTTCAGGCTAGTTTTGAGTAGTAATTGGGCGGGTTTTGTAGCGAAGACCTGGCAACCCTGCACCAGACAGCGCTTTCGGCGATTCTTCCTATTGTAAAGTCATGCAGTGTGTAAACTCCTGTCGTCGTTCCATCGTGCAGTGTGAACACAGCAACAACTGAATGCTACCCCAGATAGTCGTTCAGTGTGAAACCAACAGTGATGCGATGTCTTGAAAATCGTTCAGTGTGAACTCGGCATTAGCCACATTCAGCCCGACTATGGGCCATAAGTGTCAGTCCCAAAAATGTAAAAATAAATCAGGTTTTACTCCTTGTGTGAATATTTGGTCCCCACAATAGGGGTTAAACATGTACACCTGCAATCAGTTAATTAGGCTGAATTACAAAATTACAAGATTATTTTTTAAAACAAAATGTTTTAGTGTTGTCAAGCCTTCTCCCTGTCAATGTTATTTTAGTTACTAGTTTAATATTTCTATTCATTTTTAGGCTGACATCAAATGGATTTTGCTTATAATTTAAAAATGCTCCCTTCATTTAAGTTTTACACTTTCTGACTGTGTGTAATTGTTCTACACCCCAAAAATAGAATGGTATCTGGCTGTAACAGAGCTAATAAAATGCTTTCACTAGGTCTACCCCTTTATAACACCATTTCCAGGCTTGACCTCAGAATGAAGTGGTAAACTTTGACAAAATATGATTTCAAATGTTATTATAGTGGTTTTATTATGTCCAAATAAAAATCAAACCGCAAAACTCAATGAGTAGAATGAGCCAATAAGTGGTCCTCTGCTGCCATCTCCTGGTTATACATACATATATATATATATATATATATATATATATATATATATATATATAAAACCAGAAAATGGCAGCATCTATATATATGTAATGTTTTTCTTAATTTGCCATGGAAATATAACGTGAGGTATAACGTGACTTAAATGTACACCTCAAATGATAAAAAATAAATGAGTAAAATAGATATAAATATAACTTTGACTCTTTTACACCTCACGTGCGAAGCCCGCGAAAGAACCAGAGGTAATATAAGCTGCGGTCCATCAACTCTGCACAGCCGGACTCCTTTTTGACTGAGCGGACATCGCATGGGAGAGCTTTTCTGAGGTAAAGTATTTTTTGTGTACTGTACATAAATATAACATTTATAGACTGTCATTTAAATGTACCACATCTAAAGCCTACTGTTCACATAAACGAGTCTCTCCATCTTTATTTTCTACGACCCGCTCTTCAGCACCGTTAATTACCGTTAATGCCGTTAATCTGTATGATGTGATTTGCGACAATGGCGCAGATCTGCTAGAAATTAGAATTGAGAAAACCTCCTTTCGTTTCACATTTATGTCGGTAAAGGTAACGTCAGTCAAAAAAATATATTCATTTGACAGTTTTCATTAAAGGGGTCATATGATGTTTTTTTAAAGATCATTATTTTGTGTATTTGGTGTAACAGAATATGTTGACATGCTTTAATGTTCAAAAAACACATTATTTTTCAAATACTGTACATTATTGTAGGTCCTCTATGCCCCGCCTCTCTCAAACGCTTCGTTTTCTACAAAGTCCCTCCTTCCGACAAGCGCAGTCTGCTCTGATTGGCCAGCTGACCCAGTGCATTGTGATTGGCCGAACACCACAAGCACTCGTCGGAAATGTAACGCCCCTTACCATAATCGCGAGCTTCATCTTTCAAAATAAATGTAAAGACAGTAAATAATGTCATTAGTTTTACCATCAGTTCAAGCCCGAAAGGGGAACAGAGTCACGTGACAGACACAGTGATGAAGCTGGTATGTGTTTGCAGTACACAAGCCACGGTTAAGACAGCTGACTCCACTGTGATGTGACCCTGTCTCTCTCTCTCTCTCTCTCTCTCTCTCTCTCTAACACACACACACACATGATGCGCAAAACTCCGCATTTGAACAGTCAATAGCAAATACTCAAACTAATAACAAAACAGTCGCTGATTCAGAAGCGTCAGACTGTCATAGCAAAGTCAGAATTACCTCCTCTCCTAGGTTCATTAAACGCATCAGGTATGATTGGCTGATGTCATGCCAGCCTGTGAACCAATCAGTGCCCCTACTCCTTTGTGATTGGTTAATATGGATTAAGTCCTATGAACCTATCAGTGTTGGCATTGAGAATACAAAAAGGGAAGGGTTCAATTGCTCAGGATGCATTGTTGTTGGTACTGGACTCTTGTGGAAGTACGTCATTATGAACAAGAGATAGGGGTTGGTGCATTCTCCTGTTGTGTTTTAGCAGTTAGGTTTTTTCAGGTTAGTCTCCAGTGTTAAAAATGATTTTGTCTTTTATAAGGAGAAACTTTATTTGTTTGTCTTTTTTTGGTCAGCAACATGCTAGTGGTCGTGGTCTTGCGGGTGAGCGACCATTCATATTGCTACATGGTAAATCTCTCTCAGTATGTATGATGTTAGTTTATCATGTGTATTATCGTAGATCATTTTCTTGTTTTATGTTTAGCAGGTGTAATTGCACATCCAGGGGTTTCCAGTAACTTGGTTGGAGACCAATGTACATCAGGGACGTGATTGCACTGCTGCTTTGTTTTTAGTGTTTGTTGGGTGACCATTTTAACTTTGTCTGGCTTGGTCTTATTTTGGTTAATTGTGTGTGTGTGTGTGGTTTTTTTTTTTTGCTTTTAATCCTTCATGAGCAGCCATTCATTAACGTGTGTGTGAGTCAGCTGGGAGGCAAGTAAGATATTTGGCCTTGGTCTGCCATTTCATTCCTCCCGTTGGTGCATATGACTGCTCATTTTAATTTTAGTTTCTTGTTGTTTTTCACTGATTGTACTAGTAGTAGAATCTCTGTGTGTGTGGGCTCCATTTGAGTAGATTGTTCTGTTGTGGTAGAGAAGTGAGAATTTTGTATTTTTGAATGCGTTTATTTTGAAGTTTGTAACAGTTGTCATTTAGGAGTAGAGACTTTTTTAAAGTGGGGGTTGCAGTCTTTTAGCGTGTCCACCTGGAGTGCGGTGCTTAACCAATTGTATTGCTTTCACAACTGTATGGTGTGAGGTGAAAATCCAAAAGGTCCCCCCTGGCCATTTCTCTCCTAGTTATGTCTGTAGATTTGTGTATTTGGTTTGATTTAAGATCTTGTGTACAAAAACAAATGTTAAATTTAATGTCTCATTTGTGTATGTAAATAAACAGTTTAATTTTTATACCTTGTTCATGTCTCCATGCTCACCCTGCCTTTGGCAACGAACCTGTGTGCCCTTGCATAGGGCTGTTGTATTCCGGGTGGCATAGTTGACTTGGTGTACGTTGTGATTGGTAACTTCCTCTACCTGACCACTTTGCCATATACGGTGTATATATAGAGAGAGTGTTCAAAAGGCGATCAAGAGTGTCAGAGCGCTGTCGCGCTAGCCAGAATGGGGACTTTTATGTTACGCAGATAGCCGGAAGAGACGCTGTTCATTACTTGGCGATCGGCAGACTGCCTCTGCCGCTGCTAGTGATCGGGGTTTCTGCATTAACGAGTGCTGGAGACATGAATCATTGTTCATATCAGCCTCAGTATGAATGTATCTTGTGCTGTGTGTGTGTGTCCTGTACGAATCCTCGTTAACTGATTGATGCTTGCTTTATCAATGATGACTGCGTTATTAGCTGTCCGATGTTGCATGGTAATGCTGTTATGTACATGCTATTCTTGTAACATATCTGTTTATTCACAATGTTCGAAGTTATAATGTTTATAATGCAATAAGTCATGTGGATAAAGGCTTATCATGGATGCACTGTTATACAAAGGGTTTATACATTGTTACTGTAAGAGGGGAGCAGCCTATAGTTTTATGAATAATAATACTTGTAATGTTGGTTTCATTATATTGCTTTTGTTTCTTTCAGAGAAACCACACCCTCCACCACAATCATACATTTCATGCTTCAACTGATAAGCACCCAGCCCTCTCACGAAGACAAGATTCTTTAAAGACTGTGCTTAAGTTTCTCCTCTAACTGGCTCATGCCTCCCATCATTCTCACCAACCAGTGTATGCTCATTTGCAGTGGTCTCAGAGTCTACCTAAACCACTTTGTGTCCACTGCAGTCCTCAAGCATCTTGGTCCACATCTTTTTAGTAGACACAGACTGATGTGCATGTAAAGGCTGACCCCCCCCCCCTCTGAGTTGATCCTATCGCATCTGTGAAAATAAACCTGTTCAAACTGATTCTTCCCTCTGTGGTATTCTGACCGACGCACCTGGTTCACTGCGATTCAAACTAGCCCTAACAGTATCAGGTAGCTCTTCCCTACATTTCTGGTCCTTCGAGCTGGATTGTAGTTGTGCTGGGAGTATGCAACAGAGTGATGAAGCATCGTGGGCCCCCTCCACTCGGCCCAAACGTCAGTTAAGACCGCCATCCTATCTGAAGGATTATGAGGTCAGTGCAGTGCAACCAAAGATATGTGTCAGCCCAGCACCACACCCACCTAGAGGAGAATCGGAGCTCACAGCCTCATGTGAAGTGGAGTAGACCCCCCGAGGCACATGACAATTTTTCACTAAGCTCTGAGGAGAGCTATGATGACACAACCCTAGGATGGCCACCTATCCCTATGCCCTACACTGAGGAGGGAGCTGAGCCAAGCGGGCTACACAGAGAGAGCATGCCGTACAGTTCCGCCTCACCCTATGACACTAGAAGGGAATTGCTTAAACTATCGGCCTCAGCCAGAGAGCAAGGAGCAGTGCAGCGCGATCAGTCCTTTGAGCGATGTCCAATGCCCCCCCCTTCCATTACCAGATGACTCGTTAGTGCCAGAGGAAGAGGGGGGGTGATGGACACCTGCCCCCTCCGCCATGGCCTTCCTCCGACTACCCTCCAGAGTCGGCAGCTGTCGAGGAGCAGAGTGGTCATTGTCATAGACCGAATGATGAGTGAGTTATAGCTCATGAGAGACAGTGTGACATCCAGCATTACAGCCCACACTAATCCACATGCGACCCTTCGACGCCTGAACCCCCCTCAGCCTAGATGAGGTCCTGGACAGTATGATGTCTTGTCTTTAACCCCGAGACCAGGACCCTGTTCACCCATCTCACATCCGCAACCCAGTATGTATCACACTAATGCGGGATGCTTAACTCTGTATCCAGTTAGGCCTGATATGAGCCGACAGCATGCCGCCAGAGGCAGACAGTTCTCGTCAGTATCCGCGAATCAGGAAAGAGGAGAGTATATAGGGGCGGCACCGAAAATTCCTCTGTTTATCCATAACGACCCAATGGAGTTTTCTCGGCTAAAATTAGCTCTGTCGAACCTGCTACAGAGCTTGTCAGGTATCAGATTCTTGTGGACCACGTGAAACTTGAAGAGGTCTGTCTCATTGCCGACTCCATTAACTCACCTAGGCCATACACTGACACCATGGCAGTCTTGACTGAGAAGTTTGGCCAGCCGCACCACGTAGCCTTGAAGCGGATTGCTGCAGTGATGGATTCGCCTGAGATTAAGAGAGGAGATATAGCAGCTTTCGAGAAATTCTCTCTGCACGTACAGTCACTTGTAGGTATGCTGCAGACATTAGGCCCAGACGGAGAAGTCAAGCTGAGATGTGGCTCACATGTGGCCCGTCTCCTTACTAAGCTTCCGCCTGAGATGAGAGCGAACTTCAGGCGTATGACGTTCCACCGTCCTGGACACTCATACACTGCTCAACCTGACAAAACGGCTTCGATACGAGTCGTGGTGTCAAGGATATGACAACCCATCTGACATCCGCACCCCAGGGCTGTCTGGCTACCGAGCTGAGAAGCAACGCAGCAAGCCTGTAGCTACGGTCCTACATGGGGCTGAGAGCCACACGTCGAACCAAGCAACTAGACAAGAAGGTCAGAGTTCATCCGCGTTGAGATGGAAAGGCAAAGTGAAACCCTACTGTCCGTATTGCGAGGGTACAGAGCACTTCAGTAAGTGTCCAGCTATTCAGAGACTCACCCGAGAGGAGGTCATAGAGTGGATGAGGGAGTCAACGAGATGCGGGAGAGCACATCAAGCAGCGCAATGTGACCTCAAGAGGCTCTGTGATGTGTGCCAAGGAAAGCATCTAAGGGTACTGCATGATGTCAACGCACGCCCCAAGGCTGAGCAACCAGTACAGAAGTTCTTCATCTAGACAGACCATCATCCCATGCCCGGGTTCTGTTGAAAGTCGTCAGTTCTCCTGCGCAACAGAGACGGGACACAAGACACTTATGCGATTTTGGACGATGGATCGGAGTGGACAATGCTCCTCCCTGAGGCAGTTGACAAACTGGGCCTGCATAAGAAGTCTGAAGATCTCGCTCTCCGCACAATTCGACAGGAAGTTCAAACCCTGAAGGTAGCCGCTGTTTTATTCAAAATCTCATCCCCCAACTAATCCCAAGATAACTTTCCAGATAGTGGAGGCCTTCACTTCACAACGCTTGGGTCTAGCGGACCACTCCTACCCCATCGCCAGTCTGAAGAGGAGGTACAAGCACCTGGCAGACCTCCCCCTTGAGTCATTTGAACACGTCAAGCCGCTCGTGCTGATTGGTGCAGACTACCCCTGTCGAGCCAGCGATTCGGAAGTTGTTGGAAGCAGGCGCGGTCAGGAGGATCAACCCAGGCGAAGCCTCAGCCACCAATGAGTCATGGTACATACCGCATCACTTGGTAAGTCATAACGGGAAGAGTCGTTTAGTCTTCAACTGCTCTTTTCAATTCCAAGGCCGAAGCCTCAATGACACCCTCCTTCCTGGACCAACACTGAGAGCCTCTCCTCTGGGAGTTTTATTACTCTTCAGGCAACATGCTGTGGCGGTTAGTGGAGACATCAGAGGCATGTTCCACCAGGTTCAGCTCTTACCAGAAGACCAGCCGCTCCTCAGGTTCATCTGGCGGGACATGAAGCGCGATAACCCCCCTGAAGTCTTCCAGTGGCAGGTTCTAGCATTTGGCACTGCGTGCTCACCGTGCTGTGCCACCTTCGCCCTCCAGAGGCATGCGAGAGATCATGGCGGGCCAGATGAAGGAATCCAGCATTCGGTGGAGTGCTGTTTTTATGTGGATAACTGCCTCCAGAGTGTGCTCACCGCAAATGAGGCCAAAGAACTGGTGGACCGGCTCAGGGAGGTACTAGCTTATGGAGGATTTGAGCTCAGACTGTGGGCCTGCAACATACCTGATGTGCTCCGACATCTACCTGCAGAGGCGAGATCCGACAGCATAGAGTGATGGCTTTCCAATGATGAACCTGGCCTGTCAGAACCAACCCTCGGAGTCAGCTGGAACTGGGGATTAGACGCATTAGGTTACAAGAGCCGACCTCTGGAGTATGGAGCACTGACGATGAGAAATGTCTACAAGGTACTGGCCTGACAATATGATCCCCTGGGATTTATTGCACCTTACACTACTCGGGCCAAGCTCATCATCCAGAGCATATGGGACAAGCCTCATGACTGGGATGACCCATGTATGCCTCAAGACCTGCATGGAGGGAATGGGAATCTGAGTTACACCTGCTACCATGCATCTCCATACCCCGATCCTATGCTCCAGCCCTTACAGAACAGATGGTTGTTTCCAGGCAGATCCACGTATTCAGTGACGCCTCCGAAAGGGTTTATGGCTCAGTCTCCTACCTCAGGACAGAAGATGTTCAGGGACGAGTCCATCTGGCATTCCTTGCAGCTAGGTCCAGGGTAGCACCCCAGTGGCAACATTCCATTCCTCGCCTCAAGCTTTGTGGTGCATTGACTGCTGCCCAATTGGCAAAGACGATCAAAAGAGTGGTGAGGACCGATAAGACAATCCTTTGGAGTGACTCAATGACAGTGTTAACCTGGTTGCAGTCGGAGTCATGCCGCTTCAAGGTCTTCATGGGCACTCGTGTGGCAGAGATCCAGGAGCTTTACGGCGGAGAGTACATGGCGCTATGTTGACTCTGCTCAGAACCCGGCTGATGATGTTACCCGTAGGAAGACCTTGGCAGAATTAGCCATACCTAATCGCTGGAGCCA